ACAGACCGGTTCGTATCCGATAGGCGTGGGAAGAAGTTGTGAATTATTGTTTCTAAACAGCTGGTTCGCCCCGGTCGACTAACTACCAATAGGTCTGCGAGGAATGAAAAATCTTTGAGGGATTTGAATCTAATGATCCTGACTGGTCAATAAAGAAAAGGGGAATCTATCAGATCATTCGTCATCGGTCCTCAATAATATTGATTCATGCCTTGTTCACGTGGAAACGACTGACTGATCAGGATGTTTATTATCTCGACTTCTTTCGCAACAATCATTTCTCAATATGCCACTGTCACGCGATTCTAGCAACTCCGGCCAGGTCCAGGCCAATCCACTGCACAAGTCTTCCTTTCACTTGAAAAGAGCCATCTCGGATTAACAGCCAGTGATTACCATAACTGGATTCAGTGTTGTGTCCTTACGAAGTGATGGTCTTGAACAGAACAATAACTAGCCAAATCACCGTCGATGGTGTCAACTACCTACCGTAGCCCATCTACTTGTCGTGGTAGCTTCGCCGTCGTCGGTGGCGTCAAGGTCGCAACGTTGTATATTAATTGCGGCGTGTGTGTGTGGGGTGTTGTAATTTATGCAAATACGACAAGATGGACCGACGCTTCGTGGCTTGTCTCGAGAATCTCGGTGACGGCACTCCTTCTATGGCAAGAGATGCGCTAAGGCTAAGTTGATCCTCATCTTGGTGCGGCAGCTGCTTCATCTCTACGTCTTCCCCAACAATTGTGATCGGGAATGGCAGTTTTGTCCAAGTTCGATTGTTGTTCTGTGGCAGCTGGGCGGGCCATAGTTGGCGCAATACCCCCTTTTACGCAACACCATTGAAATTTGACATCTTCCAAAGACGATTGTCCAGTATCAATACAGTACTCTAGGGTGTATGCCCCCATTTTGAGCCCTCATTTCTTCCCCAATCAACAGGGGATTTCCGTCTTAGCTGTAGATGTCGACAGACGCCACTCATCTTCATCATAATCCACTGACCAATAGCAAAGATCGCTTATTACCTAGCAGTAATTACTACCTGGGAGGTGTCAGATAGCTAGAGGGTGCAATTACCTCATCCACCACGTTAAAATGGCGCACATGTCATATTACGGTAGTTGGTGGGATGCATGCCAGAAGGTGACAGACAGCCTTCTGTCACCTGATCTCGCCAGATGAGATCTTTCTAGCACCTGACGTGACACAGTCATAATCAGTCCTATCAAATCTCCATGAAAATGAAAAGTTCAGAAATCGACACAGCTGGAAAACAAGTTGTTGAAATCCTTCATTTACTCACCGTGGTGCCTCACAGGTGGTGTCATCGATGTAAGCTTTACCTTTCTTTCTGATAAATCCCTTTTGTACGTTACCAAATTAACACCTTATAATAGCCGTATATCTTGTGGTCGCCTGAAATTCATCGAGCACATCGTCCGAACGGGTTTTTTTTTCTAGACCGGGTAATGTCTCTATTAAGACGTCGATGGCGCTTTTCACACTCCAAGGTGGTTTTGGCCGTTTCAATGACGACGACGACAACGACGAACCCGAAGAGTCCTCCACCATCGGTGTATTTCACCACTGTCATCGCCATAATTCTCATTGTTGTCATAAACGCAAAGGGCTGAGACAGCTGCCGTCGCTGAACAGGTGTCAAGAAGGAGGCGCAGGAATCATCGTGCCCTAAATTGGATTCGCCTCGTCGCTCACTCCCCTCACACACACACACGCTGATCAACTTTCACAGACGTCGTTCTTCGTTTCCTTTCCTTTCCCTCCTCATCCATAGGTTTCTAAAAAGAAATGAGCGACATCGAAATGTTCACGGTTACGTGGCCATCGTTGAAAGTCACTCTCACTGCCCAGATATAGAAATTGCATATCTGATCGAATTTCGTGGACAATTTCTCATACCGGATGGGCTGGCAGTTGCGATGAGGATATCAGTCAGAAGATGTGGTGCCTCAATCTGTCGTAGCGATGCTTATCGTGCTGCACGGCTAATTGCGTGCACCATCGCCACAGCGGTGGAAGATTGTCGACGATGATAGCGCCCGAATGTTGTCCGAAGGTGGGAAGCTGTGAGTGCATGTGTTGTCTTAAGGAAAAGTTCATCTGATGTTGGCCATCTTTCTCACTCGCTCATCGTTCTCAACACCATTCAACACCAACCAACCAACCGATTCCAGCTGCCCATTGATTTCATACCGATAGTTTCTCCATTTCCTCCACGACTCGTTGAATCTCCCTCGATATGACGGTGAGTGGTGTGAATTCATTTTGTGTCTAATGCTGTTGAATGCGTTGGTTTTTCTGCGCGTTTCCGAGATGCACCTGGTCGCAACCAGTGATGGTATTTGAAATGCCGACGAAATCGCCACCTGCTTGCTTGCTGCCAGTTGCAATCTCTCGCGCTATGCTAAACCCTCGGCTGGTTTCCGGCCATCAGCTAAAACTTGAAGTTGTTGGGCCTAGGTACCCGACTCTTGTCCTCTGTGCTTTTAAAGCCTTCCTAGAACCCTAGTGTTGCAATCCGTTCGGGCCCAATTCTGCCTCACCCGCTCCCCCAACCCAACACCTGCTTTTGATTTCACCAACACAACTCTTTGTGTGTGTTGCGCACAGTTCGCCGGCCGTCTTCGTCGTTTAGCAGCGTGTGAATTTGCCGCCCAGAACAGACACGCGTCGATTTCGCTCACTGGGAGGACCCTTTCAGGTTGTCTTCTGGGCAGCCAGTGCCCACCCGAGCTCTTCTAGCCATCACTTCCAGCAGGCAGGGCTTATCTGATCTAATCGAGTAGCCATAATCAGCTTCTATCTTGGCATAGCTTCATTAGTCAGCCCCCCGTTGCCCTTGCGCAGCTCCCACACATTGTCTTATTTCGAGCCGAGCCACCCTTCTTCGTCAGTGAGGAGGAAGATCTCGTGAGGCGCATAATTTGATCTACCTGGCGGCATCGCCTCATTAGCGTCCTCGGCGGTCCGTCTGCTCCGTCCCCCCTACGCTCGTACACTCCTCCCAGCTCATCCAATTACTTAACGTGGATAATGCTGCGACGTGGCTCCGCCCACGACCCCACTGGATATCACCTTCTGGGCGCGGCCAGCGGTGCACAGTCAATTCGGTCGGGTCGGTTCTTCGGGGAGCTTTTGCCTTTGACCACAATAAAGTACGGTACTACAGAGGTGGTGTAAGCACGTACTGTCTCTTATTGCCGTTATCGATTTCATCGAGAAACAAAGAGGTCGACCTTTCCTGATCCTGGCTTGAGGCCGGCGGCCGAATCACATTGTAGTTAAGCTTTTCGATCATCGTTCCCTCCTGCTTTCCATCTCTCATTCGACTTGCTCTGCTCGCGACCCCACCTGTTGTGTGTCACTTCTTTTCGTTGCACGTATTTATTTGATTACGCCCCTTTTTTTTATTGAAAAACCTTGTGTACGTGTTATATTGAAGGTGCACGACCATGAAAAATGGCCCCTTGCACACAACTGCTCGTTAAGCTCCATAATTCAACGTCTTTTGTTATCTCTGCCTAATTGTTCGTCATCTTCATCGTCGTCATCGAGACGTCCCTGTGGCGGCGGTTTTCTTCCGATTCTCCTGTTGTCCGCTGGCTGGTCTAGTCCTATTCCTTCTATCTAGCCGATAGTTCTTATGTGTTTTCTATCTCGGTATGCAATCATGATTTCATGAGAGAGGGACGAGAGGGTGATTCGGGAGATCCTATTTCGGGGTGCAGGTTTTCGGTTATTAGAATGGTGTAGTGCACCAAACATGTCCGATCTCACGTTATGTTTATGAATTCGCTTCTTTTGACAGTTTTGGCGAGTCTCGCTCGTGCGCTCTCAACGGCGACGACGACGACGGCGACGAGGACGACGGCGTAATAGCGAGAGTCTTTACGAGATTCGTGTGTGTGGGTGAACTGAACTCGTCCTGATCTGCTGTAGACCTCATCCTTGGCCCATAAGCATTCCCCCACCCCTTCCCTCTCCTGTTCCCATCGCTCATGCATCGCTACTGTTGCAATCAGGTCGTGCGCAAAGATGTTAACAAACTTGACTCTCTCTCTAAACACGGATAGGTGCAACTGGTATCTTTCAGCGGGCTGCGTCGCCCCCGACTTTAGATACCGGTCACCCATCACAAATCCCGCTTACTTTAGGTGTTTAGCCGAATCAGAGCGCAGTATATCCTGGTCTTGAAACCCTCTTGCAAGGAGGGTTCATATCGTGCGCCCGTTCCTACCACTCGTACTCCAAAGCAGCCAGCGGCCGGTCAAGGTTCCACTGTGGGAAAGCGTCTGGTCAGATCTTTTCAGTCGTCCGCTATTGAAGAGCAACAATGTGCGGTATTAGTTTTGCCCCCATCTGGCCTTCGGCTTGTTCCTGAGATGCGCGTCGCTGATGTGCTACATCGTCGCTGTTCTGTTGTAGATTGCGACCGTGACATTGAATTTCCCGTTCCCAGCTCACGGATGCGCCCCCGTATCCCCACACACCATACCCCGCCCGCGCCCGCAGGCGGAATCTTCCCTCTAGTTGTGTGTGCCTGTAACATTTTGTTAATCTCCCCAATAACGTTGTACTTGTATGGCGGCAAGGGGCAGAGCTCCATGTGCTTTTGTAACCCGGTAATGGTCGGACTTCTACTTACCCAGCAGCTTGTCCGTCGTTCCTCACCTTACCCCTCTTCCGCTGCTCTCTTCTCCCTGCTCACTGCGCCTTCTTTCTATCGTCGCAATCCCTGCGAGTCCAATTAGACGTGCACATCACAAACAGCCCTGGCCACGGATAATAAGAAACCTGAGAGGCCGATTTCCTGTCGTCGTGTCGTTCCCCGGCTCATTTCACCATATTTCACTCTTTTATCGATGGTCACAGCATTGAGAAATATCGCAGTAATTTTGATGACTGATAGGCACAGGCCTCGGACTGACCAGGACACGTGGAGCCTCCTGAAGCTCCAGGATCATTTCCTTTGACCAATTCTGCTTTTCACTGCTTCTCCTTCAGCGGCTCGTTTGCCACTTCAATCGCCTGAGGCTGCGAGCCCTCTACCTTTGTTGTTTTGGTTTCGGCCAGCGCTAGTCTCTCCTTCACTGCTTGTTTTAATTGCTCCCTACGGCAAAGTGCTACGGTAGTGGGTGGGGCGTGGCCAGGTGAGTGGCATTGATCCCTCACCTCGTCGTCGTCGCTTCGCCTCACTCTCTCAGCCTCTTCTCCTACTCGTCGTCCTCAACACCTTGAGCGACGACCGAGCAGGAGCTTGTCCATCTTAGTCGCCGTCTTAGTTCAGCCCTTGTTTGCCTCTTCCCGAATTCAGGCCCTCAATGGGCTTCTCAAGTGTCGTTTAACATATTACTTTGATTATAACCATTCTCATACGGTAACACAAGCACCCTTTTCGGCAATTGTCTCGGTGCATCGAGCATTTGTTTTGGCAACTCGCCAGGTTCTTCTCTGAAGCCCTCTTTTCATAATTAGCGGCTGCCCATTAGTCTCGTGAAATGTGTTCTAATTCATTTGCTTGGGGAGGGGTCATACGTTTAACAGTGGTTCGGGTGATAAATAAATTTAATTTTCCAACATCGTTTTTTTGCAGACGCTGGAGGTGTTACTCGGTCTGATGGACGTAGCGAACGAGCCGCCGGCGACGACGGAATCGGCTCTTCGGCGAGTCGCCAGCAGCGATTCTTCCGCCGCCGCCGCTGCCGCTGCCGTTGCTGACGATGTGCTGCGCAAGTTCAAATGTCCCGAATGTGGCAAAGCGTTCAAATTCAAGCATCACCTCAAGGAGCATATTCGAATCCATTCTGGGGAGAAACCATTCGAGGTAAGTACTTTCTGTTGACCTTGTGCCTGTACTGCAACGGATTTCCTTAGCCCATATCATCTTAGCGCAGTGTGAATTGCCGTTGTCGGCTGTGGAACGTTTGTGTTCGACAAGAGAGTCGATTAGTATTGGACAGCACACCTGTCTCCGAGTGCTTGTCATCATTTATCACACGGCTGCTCCCCTCATACCTGGCCGCGAACCCGCAAACGCTGTATCTGATCCGGTGTAAAGCGTGTCGCTACGCACTACTTACATATGTTTAGCTGTTTGGCTAACAAGCTGCTCGACAATTCTCGATCATCACCCAGATCATTAGATTATGATGAATGTCGTAGGGTGATTTGGGGATTTGAAAGGGAACTTCAGGCACGGGCAAAGCAATTGCTGCACTACCTCGGGTTTGTTGGGCACGATGATCGAGTTAAGTAGAATGAAGGTAGGTAGGCTTCTTTGAATCGATTCTTCGGCGACATAGATAAGTGAATATGTGCTGCATCCACCTGGCGGCAACCAAATGAAGGCCGAAATTCTCCGTCGCTCCGTCCGTTTTGAGGACTTTGACGTCGGGTTTCGGGAGGGATCAGCAGTGCAAGAATAGGTTTTTATGGGATTTTGCGAGAAGAAGTTTTTGTTATTTAGCATTTAATCTTCTTGGTAGCTTTCCGATGCTCATTCATTGTTGGCTTTTTCAATCATTAGATGTGATTTTGGCGTTCAGTCCTCCATTTTGGAATACCTCGTCCCTCAACCGCTATTCACTAGTACCTGATGCCCTTCGGGGGGATCACTGCAGGGTGTTGGACTCAGGAAGGCCTATACCCATTCCCACTGGTTTTCTTAGTTGGTTTTCATTGCGCAACTCTTGCGTTTTCGATCAAATTTCGCCAGCTGTAAGTGTTAGGTAGCTGTAGAAACGGAGCGTAATACTCCATGACGTCATGGCCCTGTAAAATTGAAAACCTGAAGGGCCTGCTTTGTTGGAGAAGTTGCTGGAATTTGAACTTTCCCTATATTCATTTCAGTTACAGACTGGAATAAGTCTCGGGTGAGTGGGATGCGTTCTCAGGCCTCCCCCTCTCATCCAGGACTTTTGCCCTATGAATCTCTGCGGCGCCCTCTCATCCGGACATTCGATGAGCGATCTGATCAGCACACATTACAATCGGGGGGTGATGATGATGATGATGGTTTGCATAATGCTGCTGTGTGTGCTTAAAAGCATCATACCGTTGTAAGTTTATCGCGCTGAGAAATGCGCAGATGAATGTGTTCTCCTGCGACCGATTCATTTACAGCGTAGGTGTGGTGTCGTCCGTCGTCCTCTCGTCCATACCATAATGTAGCCACGCCCATAACTGACATTGTCACTCTTTAGAACAGTGCTCGGCCTCGGCCACGGGCGTACGGTACTTCGTCTTCGTTCCCGTCCCTGTGCCCGATCCGGTCTCCTACTTGCCGTTGTCGACGGGAACTGGCTGGCTCGTATACCTGGCTATTACCGTACGCGCAAGGTGTGACGGCTGCCGCCGCTGAGATTACCGTAGTGCCGGGGTGAGGTCGGGGGGTGATTATTGGTTGTCGTCCAGGTAACACGATGACGGGCTCCATTCAGGTGAGCTGAAGCAGCTGATATTGACAGCCGCCGCCGCGTCGCGTTTGGCTGTGGCCGTGGCTGCCTCCTGCGTCGCGGCGGGCGGATTATGAATTCACGGCGCGCGAACCTGGCGCTTCCATGAATTAATGAAATGCCTCAGGGGACCTGCGTGTGCTCTTCGGCTCAGCCAAACATAGTTGCTGCCCGAAATCCCCCCTCGCCATCCATCGTGTCCCCGTCCTGAAGGGGCTTGTTGCGGAATATATTCCGTGGGTGAAATGACATCTTGACTGCAGGGGATTGAACCAAAGGTGATCGCCGAGACTTTAATTAGTCCGTAGATTTCATTGGAAATAAGCAGGTTTGTTATTGTGAAATGGGCCTACCAGAAGGAGGAAGGCGATTGCTGGACGACGGTGGCGAATTGGCTCTCATCAAGAGGTGTATGAGTCTCGACAGCGGCGTCATTACGGCGCGAAATACCATCTTTAGCAGCATTTTGCCGTTTCCATCAAACAAAACGAAGCCAGTAACCTTGTTGCTCTTTCAGTGCCCGTCCTGCCATAAGCGATTCTCGCATTCTGGCTCCTACTCGTCTCATATGAGCAGCAAAAAATGCATACAACAGGTGTGATCTTTCTTCTATCTGGACAACTTTTTTGCCTTCGCCGTCTCTACTTTACTGATTCTTCTTTCAGTCCGCACCGTCCATGGTACCGCAGTTCAATCACTACCAATTGATGGTGTATCGAAATTTGCTGATGCAACTTCAAACGCAACAGCAATTCGTACTTCCAACTGCCACCGTCGACCCAAATCCCTACCTCAGTCTCATTCAACAGACAATGTTGCAAGGGGTAAGCGGCCCATGCTCTTTAACAGTAAAGACCCTATATGCCCTTGGCAGCCGATCAAAAAGTCATCAGAACCCCAATAGTTCTAAATGGCGACACCCTCTTTGTCTGTTTGGCTCAGCTGTCGGCTGACTATTGCAGTGAGAATGAACGAGAGAGAGAAGCGACGGCTGTGTGAGTATTAATTAGGTAGCCGAAGGTAGCAGCCGACGGGAGGGGAGGAGGAGCCGCTTTGCCGTATCGAACTCACCCACCGTCGCCATTTGGAGACCTATATAAGAGTAGTGTGTGAGAGCACAACGATGGGCGCCATCGGCCATGAGATTTCAATGGGGCAATCATTAATACAGGACAGTTGGGGTAGAAGATTGTTTGTGCGGGAGTGTTTGCTGGTCGAAAAAGGTCATATCGACACTGACAACCTTTCGGACCATGTTATGCAACCCTCAAAACATGCAAAAACACCTTGTTTACCGATTCTGAACCGGGGTCCTTCTTTTGCCATGTCACGAGCGCTTCGTTTCCCAGCTGAGTTGAAGCAGGGGACGATCTGACTCTGGGAACCTCCTTCACACTGTTAACTTCATTAGGAGGGAGACCCCGCTGACAGTTGAAATGTTACTTGGTCGAGTTTTCAGGTATAGGCTAAGGAATTCAGGCTTCCCACCCTTTCGTACTGAGAGCTGCCTGTGCTGTATCTGTCTGGGAGGGTAAATACCTCATTCAAATGTCGGCTGAGTTTTACATAAGATTTTGGAGGCCATACCTCCTCAAGTGTTACAAAGCTATGAGTTTGCGATTTGGAGAGGATACAGAATGCGTGGCGTATTCCTAACTCATCATTCAAGGCCGACTAATTCATTCTAATCCTTAATTTTTTGATGGCATTCGAAGATAAATGAGTTCAATTTAGCTGACTGATGTTTCGTCAACATCGCCAGCACCAACATCCCCCTCATCACTGCTTTCGTCGTACCTCAATTCCACAATGTCGTCGGAAAGCAGTCCACCGCCTCCTGAATCCTCACCGGACGATAAGAAGGAGAAGGATGTGAAGCACGAAGCATCTGTGAGTTTGATTTGGCGACTTTTGGTTTCACCCGGAGCAACTCATGACGTTGACGTCGAATGTGCTCGTACTCCCTGGGATAGTTCGCTGAATTGTCAAAGTTCTAGAATGGTTCTGTTCCTTTGAGTCGAGGCATTTCCCATTGCTGACCCTGCTCCTGAATTACTTACCATTACTACTTACCATTACCGTCCTCATATCACCGTAACTTGTTGGTTTCAGAGCGATGCTGGCGATGGTGAACTGGAAGTGGTGGTTGGTAACGACGTGATCACCGATGCGAAGTCATCACCGCAGGATTGGCGTCCGCTTCGCTCCAGATCGTTCCTCACCGATGCCCAGGTATGTCGCTTCATACCTTGACCTGGAATTGCCTCACCCAAACTTTCTCATTCCAGGTGGCTATCCTGAATACCCATTTCAAGCGGAATCCTTTCCCTTCGAAGTACGAATTGTCGGCAGTGGCCGAGCAAATTGGAGTGAACAAACGTGTTGTCCAGGTACGGCCTGAACGTCTTTCACATAGCTTCTCTGCACCGAACGATTCACCCGTCTACCGTATCAAACACTTTGAAGCGATTTCAAATTCGTTCTCACTCCTGTGTCATGTTCTCGTCATTGTTTTGAAATTTCAAGAAGGGGGCAATTGAGTTAGCAAAGGGCAACTGATGTGTCATTCAGGAATTGCCCATACCCCGCCGCTCTGCCAACCGCCGTTCACTGCCGCCCCGCTCTTCTGTACTTTTGTATTGATGCGAAGAATTTCTGTGAAAAGCTCGTACGATTTTCTGATCAATCAGCGTAGGTACCGACTGGGGGAGGGCCAAAAAACTCCCAACCAGCGCACCTGCGTCCGGGCTTTTTCAGACGTTTTTGTGTGTTGACTGGCCAAATGTTTTCGACCTGACCACGGCCGACGGATCGGATAAGGAGGACCGAGTTAGAGTGATGTCTGAAGTGTCTCTTTTTCAGGTGTGGTTCCAGAATACCCGAGCAAAGGAGCGACGAGGCAATCGCCTTCCACCTCTGGGTCGAATGCCTTGGCCCCTAACAACGGCCACTACCCCATCACTTCCTCAACAGAATGCCGCTCAAATCATGTCTGCATGGGCTCAACAGTATTCTGCTTTCGCATCTCAGGTTTGTACTCGTGTTTTTCATTGTCCCTATCTGCTTACCCACATGTCTGCAACAACACCTTTATTTACATAAAACCGGGGCTCAGGTGGTATTTGGGGCCTACTAATTTGGGTCTCATCCTATTACCTCGCCATTCGCAACCGCCAGATGTGGGTATTCTTGAGTAATTGTGTGACCCTCACTGACCCTCCTCCTTCTCGTTGTTCCTGGTAGTTTAAGGGGGAAAATCGAGCTGGAACCCTTAATTACCCCAATTAACAGGTATTGTCGTAAATTCAGCCAGACGAGCTGTCTGTCGTGTTTATGATGATTTCCAACCTCATCATCATCACGTCATAGGAGCTATCCATTACCGTCGTCGTTTTATTTGATGATCTGGGAGTGTTTGAGTGGGAACAGGATGTTCCAATGGAGGTTCGATGTGTTGCCCAAGTGAAATCAGCGACTTTTACAGGCGGATCAACAGTCAGCCGATGAGTCAGCGAATCAGAAAGAGGAGGAAACCGTCGTCGATGATGACAAATCGAACACTCCACTTGACCTTACGGTGAAGGACGAGGTTGACCATGACTGGAGCCCTGAGAAGCTCATTGGTACGTCCCACATGCCGCTTCAACGCCTTTCTGACTCACCTTTGTTTTGGGAACCAAGCGAAAATCAAGGAATACCGATAGTTCCACCTCTTAAAAGGGCACCATTCAGGTCTAGTCGATCGTAGCGCTGCCAATCTTCAACAATTACTCAAGCAGACCACCTCGAGTGATACGAGTCCGACGTCTGAAGCACCGGAATCTGAAGTGACATCGTCGATTTGGCCCCCAACTTCTATGTTTCTCAACCAGTACAACATCCTGAACGTGAGCAACTTGGCTGGACTTCAGAACGTCTTTGAGGTTTGCCTCCTGCTGGTCTCAATGATCCTACCGTAAGTACTAGGCTCAAGTCATTCCAGAGCCAAACGGATGCCGACGAGACGATGAGTTTGAGTTCGAACGACTCCAAGAGGAACAATTTTCGGATAAACAAGGTACCTACTGAGCAGTCACTGTTTTATAGAGAATGGTTATGGTTAATTGATTTCAGTTGGTGGAGGAAGAAGGCCTTTTTGCCTGTGACCAATGTGATAAGATGTTCGGCAAGCAGAGTTCATTGGCAAGGCATAAGTATGAGCATTCAGGTGAGGTGCCGAGTTCTTCACAGCTTCCACTGAGTCCATATTGTTCATTGGCCATCGTTTGTTTGTATTGTTCGTAGGCGGTTACGTAGCGCAGATAATCTCGGATAATTAGAATACGGTGTCAGATGGTGGTGGTACTCGTCGGTCTATTCGCTCCATTCCCTCATGCTCATCTCTCTTCCCTCAATTACCGATTGTATTACCACAAACGCGCGCTTCTTACACTATATCCGATTAGGATTGGGAGGGTTTTGTGCTTCAGAGTGCAATATGATATAGCACGCGGAAATGATGCTACGTATGGGAACGACAAGATGGTCCCACTAGGAGGCTGGTGATAGTTCTGCAACCATAGGGACGTATAAGACTGTCAGACTTCTTCAGTTTGAGATACTGAAGTTTTGAAAATTTGGAAGGCACGACACATGAGGTGTCCAGTATGTCTACGGTGGCTTGTGACAATAGGGAAGGGCTCGAGAAAATAAACCATCTTCAGAGAACAGATGACACTCAATAGACGGGGTTAATAAATCGAATGAAGGTATAGGCTTCGTACTGAAGAAATCCTCTGGACCATCCTCCCTTCAGCTTCATGCTGAACAAATCCTATGGACCATGCAGCCGGTAGTACCTAAGTTATCAAGATTCATAACTTATTGGTGCTTTTCTGAAACTCGAATACGCTTCATTCGGACTGATGGGCCAGCCTGCTGCGTCTAGGATCACTTGCCAATTCCTGGTTCGGTCCCATATGGACACGACGGGCATATTCTGCATTCCTTGCTACTTTAGCCTGAAAAAGATGACTATTTTCGAAGTTAACTTATTCCAAGGAGAGGGCGCAGGGTTGACTATTTGGCGCTTGAAATTTGCCTAGTTTGAGAATCTTGGAAGATACTGTCTTATCGACATCTCTTGAGCCGAAAATTGATGGATTCGAATCCTTTTTTCGGATTCGATCGATCAATGACTGTCTAAAAGGCCGCTGCTAAAATGCCCAAATCGCAAGCTGTGAACGTGGTTTGTCAGGAAGAGTCTTGCATTAGCGGATCTTATCGCTCAGTTTCCGTCATAACCATTCATTTGTCTGGTTGCTCGGCAAGATTCGGTGATTTGGTTTACCCAAAACTCGCCAATCAATATGTATGGAATGTGGGATCTTTCTGGTCAATTCACTTTCTCTCAATAGTGCACCTTTGGCTAGAGAGCAGGAAAAACTGCAGGGCAGTGTCTCAAACATGTACTTCGATAAGTTCAAAGCCATCTGAGACGACTGTATTACACTCTTTGAAATGTGCGTCATACTGTATTTAAAATTTTGTTTGACCTAGTTTTTTTTTTACAAAAATATTTGTTTCTTTCAGGTCAACGCCCGTACAAATGTGACGTTTGTGACAAAGCTTTCAAACATAAGCATCATCTGACAGAACATAAACGCTTACACTCAGGAGAAAAACCATTCCAGGTTGGTTCTTTTTTAGGGCAAATTTTTTTCCCGCAGGTAGCACTGCTAGTTGGACTCTGGAGAGTTCAAATGAACACAGACAAGTGTAGGGGGAAGGTAATCGTAAAACCCAAGGAGCGAAGCATATCCTACCATAGCTCCATTCCCTACGGTTGCATACTGTATACGCTCGCTAAGAGCTTCTGACATCTACAAAGTTCCAAATGAACCGTTTCCTAGCTGTGAACTTGATGATTCAGCTTCAATGGATAGGTCCTCATCTTATCAAGCTATCTTATAGATTTCTAGGGCTTTCGTTGCCCTTGGAAAACTTCTCCGTTGAAGATGGGTGGGATACTTCCAATTCTTTAAGACCTCATCACCTTCACTGCTCTCCCTCAGTACGGGGAGACTGTAAAGATGGTGGGATCTCATAGACCTCACGTCCAGCTCTTTCCCTCATTTCATTACTGTAGGAGTCTCCGTACGTGAGGAATTCTACAGTAATGAAGTGAGGGAAATAGCTGGTCTCCCACTTTTTAGGTAAAGGCACTTTCTGAGTGTTGTCGTCGATCCGCAGCTAGCCTCAGGCATTATCAACTCTCCCATTTTCAATAACAAACAAAGCGTGGACAGCGGGACTCACAGGGGTTTCCCATCAATTTTTAATATAAAAAGCCCAATTTCGAATAAAATTTTCTCTTTTTTTCAGTGTGACAAGTGCCTGAAACGATTCAGTCATTCCGGCAGCTACAGTCAACATATGAATCATCGCTACTCGTACTGTAAACCCTATAGAGAGGGTATGGTAGCAGCAGCAGTTGTAGCCGTGACCGGTAATGGAGGTAATACTGGTTCAGAAAATCCATCATTAGCCAGTACTCCAAATCCGACACCTCTCGAAGTACCGCTTATGGGTACACAGCTCAGTCCTCTGCTCACTCCAGCGTCTCTCGTTTAATTCATTTTCTATTCCATCTTGCGTCCTCTTCCCGTTCCTCCTCCTCCTCCTACTCCTCCTCCTCCTCTTCCTTCACCGTTCCTAATGTGCAACAACACAAATGCCTCACTTTTTGCCAGATCTCGTGTGATATATGCATGTTATCGTTTTTTGTTCAGTTGTTTACTAATATTTATTGTTTTGCTCCCTGTATCTTGCCATGTGTATATATACAATATAAGGTGCTGCTTTCCCTTGTCGTCACATGTGTTAGGGGTTTTGCGTTTTTTTCGTAGCTCAACCATCCCTGAGAACACTCTTCTTCTCAAGGGGCCAGTGCACCCCATTTGGCAAGAGTGCGCTATTCAGCTGATTGGTGCTAGGATGTATATAGAAAGCTTTTGTACCATAGATTGCTTTCATACTTCGCTCCATTCACTAATCGCGCGACGGATATTGATTGTGTGCGCGCCAAATCGATATCCATAGTTTTTGCATGCACGCAGTCGTTGAGGACAAGCTTGGAAGTATGAAAGCAATCTCATCTATTCTCCACTTAATCTTCTATCTGTTCTTTTCTCACAGCCGGTGGTTGTATGTTCCTTGTCGTAGTTGTCATCAGCAGTGGTACGTAGTGCTAGTCCTGTTCTCCGAATAGAAATTTCTCGTACATTTCTTCATTCCTATCCTTCTGCTATCTATGTAGTATACTTGTTAGTATTGTACTCGCATACTGCATTCAACAATAGTCATTTTTTTGGCACATGTGCAAGTGCGCTTTGATCCGATCAGTTTACAATCACTTGAGACCAATTTCTTTATGTTTCTATTGAGATTCCCTTACACGGCGGTTGTCATCATTATAATAATGAATTTAATAAAGAAACATATACGTTGGGTTAGAAACGACATGCTACCTATGGCTTAAGCCTAAGCCTCGTTTTGGTCACCGGGTGACTGAAACTAACATTCGAAACGAAATCTCGTAGGAAAAGGGGGAACAGTCATTATATGTGGGCCCAGACTAAATTTACTGCATTTGTGTATCAGATAGAGTGATGGCATGGCGATGATCCGTTAAGCCTAAGAGACGATAAAATAACAAACACCCTTCGTCCGTGATGGGACCATTCCCTAATTCGGTCCATCATTTCTGGGTCAAAATATGCTACTTGAAAAACTTGTGAGAAAAATCTAGTAATTGACGGACTCCTGAGAAAAGTTAGTAATTGACGGGCCCTCACAACCGTCCCCCTTCCCCCTTTCAGAAAATCTGATCGTGAAAATGGATTAGACATTGATTTCGAGAACCCTACCAGTTTTTCGACGCTTTTTTAGGTGTCTTCAAGGGGTCCTCATGAGGGTTTAACCCGATTAACCTCAGATTATTTGATTTATATACGGTTGTCCAAAGAGACTGCCCTAAAAAGAAAACTCCATGAAAGGGGGCTTCCCTTTGATGGTGGGATCAAAATTTATGTATCCCATACAGGTTAGTCGGTAAATTTCTTTGCTATCGCAGAGGATAAGCGAAATTTATTCATGGTAAACCGCTAAGACGATCAAATCTTTCACCGCAAGTCAGTTCGATTTCCTATTCTTTAAGATACGATATCGATTAGCAGTTCTTTTCGAGTGGGAAAATGGATTGCTTTGGTGAAAACCTGAATTAACAGCTATCCACCTATCAGGGATGCTCCTTTTTTGACTGTCTAGAAATCTAAAATGTGATTATCAAAGAGTAGATCCTTTGAAAAACTACGGACTGACTCTACGTCTGTTCTGTCCCTGACGATAACTACCAAGTGAATGAAAAATTGGATCTGAGCTTGTTTTACCTGATTGGGATCCCAGTGACTTATATCTCCTGTGAAGAGCTATCTATTGAAGAGCTAGCTACCTTCTATTGGATGGCGGCTTTCTTGCAATTGTTCTCATCGGACGTAATTTCGCGTCCATTGCTGTCCGAGCACGTCGAAGGACAGATGGGTTTATCTGAGAAGAAGGTGCAATAATGTAAGGAGAGCGATGGCATAGGTACAGATGGTGCTATGATTGATCCGCGCAGCGGGGGGACACAAAGCATACCGTAACCAGATTATCAACGCGGGCCACGTAGAGGGGATGTCACCGGGGCCTGCTTTGTCCGGATAAGAGCCGATGAAGTGCGAGAAAACCTTGCGGGACGTACTAAGTTGTTCCGGATCAGACTCGGCTCGGCTCTTTTCTGTCTCATCCGCTCTCTCGCTCTTCCTCACCGAACAACTAGCACCACTCATATTCACTCATTCATTTTATGGCGATAGAAGGCACGGATCGCTTGCAATTTATGAGCGCGTCACGTTCAAGACAGATGGCTTCGCGCAGGTGGCAATGTGTGAACGTCCCCGTCGATGTCTCCCTCTCTCATACTGCGACACACTCCACCACTCGGATTCGCCTCTTCATATCGCCCGACTGTTTGATGACTCGTTCAACTACTCAAATTTGCTCTTTCAATGATTCGTCTGAGTGGAAATTGGTCGTCGAACCGGCACGTCTCAATCTGCACATCCACTCGATGGGCCATAAAATTATCATCGAGGTGGTGGTTTTCAAGTCCTCTAACGAGTACGGCCCCTATCGGATCTTCTCTTCAGTCGTAGCTTCTGGGCGACACAAAGGGAAAGACGAGTCGTTGACAGAAGTTGGAGCTGAGCAATGGCACGAGGCTTACGGTATTGGCTAAAATGGATTCATTCTGGAATACAAGTAGAGTTAATGGATCCGCACTATCCGTCAGAATTGCTAAATAAAATAATCTAATCATGGAAACCCGGAGCTCCAGCTTGGAAACGAGCACAAACTTCGGCGAAGCCGAGTCTCGGGTCAGCCAGTGCACTATGGGGGCTTATACGATAGTTTCGTTGGGATTCAGTGGCAGATTCAGCTGCCTGTGAGTGCTTGCCATCACTGGGAACTGGGCAAATTTGAAGTGCAGTGGCACCAGTCTGTCTCAGCTGTCGACTACCTCTGAATAATAAACAATATAGGAGAGAGAACAAATGCATGGCGCAATTTAACAAATGTTACGTCAATTCCTGACCTCCTGACTAAGAAGTCATTTCACCACCTGAGGCAGGCTTCAGGTAAAAAGCTGTTGCTNGTTCAGACAGGAATCGATCTTACGGCTCTAATAATTCCACGGTGCCCGTGTCAATGAACCTGAAGATGACGGCGCTTGTCAGAACAGTGCCCACATTTTCCATAGTTGGAACACTGTCTGAGGCGCGGTTACCATCTATGTAGTCCAGGGATCGCAACCCATTCAAGTTATATGAACTTCTACCAAGCGAAGGGATGGTTGGGTTCAATACGAAGTCTGTCTAGAGTAAGTGAAGTAGCTTCTGTACATCTTCTGAAGTAGGAGCCAAACACTCTTACAGACTATTACCTCACCTCTAGTTGAAAACTGAGTGCAAGGCATTCCAGAAAGAATTGTTCAATGCCAGAAGTTCTCATAGAATATGTTAGGCTTAAGGTGGAGGTGGTGTAATGGCAAGTGGTGCACTGTAACACAAAAGGTCCGGGGATCGATACCCTGTCCGATACTCACCCAGACTAGTTAGGCTAATTGGGTTAAGCAATTGTTATCACACTTGTCTTCGGGAATAACTGCCTTGAGGTGCATGTAGGCTGGCATCGCAAGTCATTGTTTGGGCCCATATCCATTCAAAGTGCCATTACGATTCTAAATTGAAGTCGAATACAGAGCGCATCCCAAAGGAGGAATTGACTCCAGAAGAGTTTATTATACTATCTAGGAATGAAGGGGAAAGGAGTCGGACTTCATCAAATACTTCACTTCCCGAACATAGCTTCCATTTAAACTTGGTGAAAGATTTTAATGTTCATACCCAGAGACCTCATTGGCGAGAAAAGCAGCCAATTTCGACCTCTACATTCCTAAGAAAGGTTTCTAGTTTTCAGTAACTTCAAGAGTTCGATCGGTGGTCTATGGTCGGCCCATATACTGCGCAATGGTAGTTTTTCCCACTAGTATAACATCTGTTCTGCAATCAATCTGCTGTAATTTTTCTCAAATCTACATTCCTCTGCTCAACTATACATTGAAAGGGAGGAATGCTGTAAGAGATGATGTCAAAGTTCTTTTTCCACGAAGAAAATTCTTTTCGTCAACAGCTTGATTTACATGAACAGGTGGGTAGGGAGGTGTCATCTTACTTCGCCTCTTCCTAGTGGATAGTTGGTGTTGCCGTGGCATGTTAAGTTTGAGTGGAAGATCCCTGGGGAAATGTGGCTTGTCAGTCACAAGTGTCCGTGACCCTGACTGCATAACTCGACTAAAAAGATTTCCTTCATCAGTTGCGCCCCTCGAAACGGCAGAGTAACACCATTTTTGAATGCTAGCAATGACCGTGTCAGGAGGGGACCAAACCAAAACGAGCAGTTTGGGGAGAGCCAACCAGATAGAAATCGGTGGAGCTTATCTGAGTGCCTAATTCGAAAAAGGCGCAGAGTTTTTCAAGTATACGAGCTCATTTTGACAAAACTTACAACTTCATAGAAAAAAGGATGGCTACTATAATATGTGTGGGAGAAAGGAGTTGTTCTACGTGTGAGTAAGGATTAGCAATAAAGCCTTTGTGAATTTGTCAATTCCGTCTGAGAGATGCGCCCCACATTCGACTTCCGCTCAGAACCGTGGACACGTTTTGACTGTTCATGTGGCCTAAACGAAGGCTTGCGGTGCTCAGCCAATGTTCAAGACAGCACTTTCACCCTCCCGGAAGATTAATAAACGACACTTCAGAATGGAAGGCATGGTTTCGAGAACTAATCCTGAATCCGATCTTCAGGCTATCCAAGTGATATGTTCCGCCTCTTACCGCTACACTACTTTCATCTTGCTTTACGAACATTTTCGAAAACGCTCGGCTCGTAATAACTACAAATCTGAATAAACTGGTTAGGGTAACTGCAACCGCTGTAGCTTGTGACTAAATCCTATTTCAAAACAAATTTCATTTTTCCAAATAGAGAACCAATGAAAAATCAGGTCAGGGATAGTCCTGGGTTCTGCAATGAAGCAAAAGACAAATTTTTCGAATTTCAGCAAAATATTTTCAAACCTATCGCTGGTGTAGGAACGAACAGCGAGCTGAACTTTTCTACTTCTTCAAGCAAAATGTCGTTTCAAATTTCGAAGTTTTGAATTGACAGAGCGCATCTATGAGTTTTCCCTCAGTGCCAATACCCTTCTCCGCTCGTTTTTAGTGGGTTCTCACACAATCTTTTCGATTTTTCGATTTGTTTTGCTTTCTATTAACGATGAAAAAAAGATGCACGGATTTCATGAACGCTCACTTCTTCAAGCATCTCTTTCGCCAAATGCAGAACTTCGATTGTCACAATGGCATGTGTGAGGGTCCCAAAAAGGATAAGCGGAATCTGAAGTAAAACGCCGTCGGGTGAAGCTGTTCACCAGTGTCGAGCAATTCGCTCAGAATGCGGTACGTATTTTCATGCCTTCTGGTTGCTTGTTTGATTTGAATGCTTCAGGCTAGCAAGACGATTTTTGGGAATTAACTGCTTCTGACATCGTGAAAAGTAATCGTACATGACATCCCAGAACGTTCGACTATCCCATGAGGGACGGTGTAGCATGTTGTGAGAAATCAGATAGGCTTTTCACTCCTCCTTGAATAAAAACTACATTTGCGTCCCGCACCACCTCAGATCAAGGGAACACCCGAAGCTTTTTCATGGCAGTTTTTTAATTTTGGTAAAAAATTTTGAAACAGTTTCCTAGTTTTATCACATAATTTTGAATTTTCAGTTCTAAATTCTGACTTCTATCGTTTTTTTTTCTTTTTAAGGTTGTTCTGAGCTCAATTTTTCAGGAATATTTTTAATCGTGTTGATTTGAAACTGACTGCACAACTGAACCTTGATATCCACCTGGCTACTGACTGACTATTCAATCGTTCATGATCGAGTACGTATCCGATTGCGTCACATCTGCAATTGATGCGAACAGCGCAAGATGGTTCCCTTCAACGACACAAGAGTGGCACCCTCCTTCAGAGAATTCGTCTCCGCATCATTCATGTCAGTGGGAACAGATGATGATAACTAACTGTACTGGGGCCTTTCAGAGTAATAGTAACTCTTAAAATTCAAATGATGGTATAAAAACTCATAAAACAAGTAGAAAAACCATTTGGCTAGATATTTAGATAAGTTAGATGGCCAAAGTGGTACGAGTATTTTGGGAACTTCAGGAAGGAAGAGCTTATCTTCAGCAGTTGTCAAGACGATACAGCGAAAGCAACCACGAGAGCGTTCAGTTTTCGCTCTGGGATAAGGTACTGCGCAGAATAGAAGACGCTTCATGAAAGATTGAGCCATGTTCCGTCAACGGAAGAAGCCTTGAGCTTTTATCGAAGCAAACTGGGATTTTAAAGTAAAATTTGTCCAAAAGCAGCAACTAACCATTCTACAGGCCCGGGACTCCTCCTCTCGACGAATGCTGGTTAATATCACAGTAAGGTCCCTTCTTGCCGCTGTCATAAAAGATTAGGGCTTTTGGCGTCACCGTTCCCGTTTCAGGGATACTCCCCTTACCATGCATTCTAACTCCGTTCCGAAAAGTGGTGGCGTACTGAAGGCGTATGTGGCCATAACAATGGTTGGCGATGGCCAGACGATGTTTAGGTTGAAGTTAGTACATTTATCCTCTCAGACAAGTCTGGTACCAATGAATCGGCCCTGGATGGTTGGAGGTCTTGGTTGACCCAGAAGAAACCGAAATTCAATTCCCGGACCTAGTGCATGTGGTAGTGTGTATGTGTATGTTCATGTGATAATGGGCCATTGCTACTACACCACCTCCACCGTCAACTTCGTTAGATGCCTAATTAATGAGGGTTCGCTCATTCTTATCCGATACGCTCCGCATGTAGGAGCATTCGTGCCACGACCACTCTGCTTAACAACATCTAATGAAATGTAACAACAAGTAGTAACACTAGCGAGCTAATGGCAGAGGCGTATGGGAGAGCTCAGTGCTAAGGCACGGTTCGCGATAAAAATGATTTCTGAGATATCCCCATAGGATGAAGTCTAGGCTCCCTAGTATACCACATCTGGCGCTATCAGGTCAGAAAACTTACTAGCTTCGGCATTATAAAGGCTAAAAAATGATATGTGTGTATCCTCGGACGAGTTTCACAAGCATTGCAGACGCTGCACCATTCAACCCATGTAGAAGACTCAAGGAAGTTGTCATGATCCACAGCGACAGTGAAAGGCAGTTCGGTGCTGTTCTGGCTTGACGTAGTCAGCTCTTTGCGCTACTGCAACAACTGAAATCTCGTCCGAACACCTTGCCCACTGGTAATCTCGTCCAACCTTTACTTTCCCTACTTTTGAAAAACATTCTTCCTCAGATTCGCGAATTTTCTCGTTTCCTCACTCGTTGAACTATTCTCAACCTATACTTCCACTTCTTTTTTTTAAAATAAAAACGGGTACCTCAAAATTATCGTGAACTGTGCCTTCAACCGAATGCCACCGTTCCTCCGTTTTTCTTCAATTCCCTTCTTAGGCTTGGTAACATCGAATAACTTCCTTTGAAATAGTCAACAATTGAAATATTCATTTTCAGAATAAATGCGCATATCATAAAAAAANAAAAAAACAAGCATAAAACTTGGTTTAAAGCCTAGAAGTTTGTTTACAAGTCCATGAAATAGTTCCAAAGATGGGATGACGTTGCTATCCACGTACAGCACATCCTTTACCATTACATGTGAGGAAAAAGCCATTACTCGTACTACCTATGTACTTGTTTCCATACTGATCAACGTTGTACCCACCACCTCCAAACAGGCTTCCCAGAAGCGAGGGGGCTCGATAACTGCTGTACTGCTGATAGTAGCTTGGATATCCATAGGAAGAGTACTGGTTGTATCCGTAGGGGCTCCTCGAGTAGTAGGCCGGTTGAGCATAGCCGTACTGGGGATAGTAATAGGAAGCGTATTGTGATTGTACGGTAACGAAGAGGGAGCTGAGGATGACGAGAGGTAAAAACATAGCTTTGATGATGTTGTAAGTCTAGAAAACTGAGACATATATAGTAACAGAGCAGGAACTGTCTAAGCGGCGATTTGATGGGGTCGGAGGGGTAGTTTAGTCGTAGAGATCCGCCGCTACTTTTTCATTTAGCACTACCGTCACTTTCTCTCTTACGCAATTCATCGGAAACGTTTCCGCATCTAACAAACCTTATCAACGTTCTCGTTTCTCTCTAATAATCTCCCCACCTTACCAAATTTCTACACGGTTTTTCGTCCCAGCTACCACTGATACAGGCCCCTCGACTGTCTGGTAACGCGAATTTTATTCTGCAGCTCTCTTGGAAGGGTACGGACATCTTTAAAACACCCTTATTCTTCCCAGGTTGCACAGCCTAACCGAGTTCCTGAACTTAGTCATCCACATCTGGTTGATACTGGTTCCTAAAATACCGGCTCGTACTTGTTGTACCCGTTTTATGGCTTACTACCGCCATAATCAAGTGGTCTATCATCAAACAAGTTCCTAGATACCTGTGTACACAATGCTGCTGTTTATGACTGTTGATATACACGAAGTTCTCCAGGAGTTAAAGCATGCGCAAGACCGCTGGAAAATACTGTCTGCTAGCGTGGGTGACTATGGTGGTACCCGCACCTTGACTGGGAGTGAAAAAGCTGTAAAGGATAACGTTTTCAGGGGGTAATCAATCTCCCGAGAAGGATGCCCCCACGCATTCGCTTTCCATTCAGAATCGTAGTAGCGGAAGTGTAGATGCTTATGTGGCCTTTACAACGACTTCCGATGTTCGCCCAATGTAAATACAATACAATGCTTTCACCTCCCAGACGAGTCTAGTACAATATAAGCGATCTCGAAAGGATGAAAGGCTTGGTTGGCTCAGGCGGATATCGACCTCGGATTTAAACCCATGCCATGTGTGTGAGAAAGTGCGCCACTTGCCATTAGACTACCGTCCGATGGAGACGGTCTCACAATCAGACAGCTCGAGCTCGCTATTGTTTTTTCTCCTTCAGGCCGTTTTTGATCAAGAAGATGGATGTAAAACTTAAAATTCACCTTTTGGAACAAAGATACCCTTAAGAACAGGGTTCCCTCCTCCTTCCCTCTCTCTTTGTTTTAACAGCAGTCCGCGTTTGACCCCACTATCAAAACATTTTCATTTGAGGCGCAACCACTCGGAGGTCTACTTACTTTGTCCTCTTACCAAAGGCAATAAAATATGGAAATTGATAATTTCCTACGTTCCCGGGCAAACTCAAAGCTCCCTAGCTTCTCAAAAAACGCCTTCTCCGGTGATCATTACAAATTAGTGCTTTTTAAATGTATTGCTTATATGCGCCCTCCCTGCTATTTCAGGTAGCAACTAATTGGGTATCAAGTTGGTACATCAAAGTAAATAACTTGATACCCAATTAGTTACGACCTGAAATAACAGGGCACATATAGCCTGTTAAGTAAGACTGTCAAAAAGCTCAAATAGGGGGAACAGCATCTTAATGTGTACAACTAAAACAACCCTTGAACGTCCATCATATGTAATAACTACCTTTTCAGAGAGAATTTGAGATAAATTCTATGATTTTCAGTTTTTATTCCTTACATTTTCTTGAAAAATGTATAAAGTCCACAGTCTCACACTTTTTTTTTTTGAATTGACGTCTTCAACAGCGGCGTATTCCTCCAACTTCCCTCACCTATTCAATGAAGCTATGAATTATTCTTAATTTTTCATGTGAATTTTTTCATGTGAATAAAACCTTACAGAATTTTCGAATGCTACACTTTTTTTAAACATATTTTTCTAATTGTCACAACACTCTTTTTTATTGTTGGGTCGTAGACAAAGATGAACATACGTTTACTGCTTACAATTCAAGCATTTGAGGAGAACAAGGGCAGCTGAGAAGGGAGGGACTGATGCTATCACTAACGTGGAATGGGTAGCTGTAAATCATAAAGGCCTTAGACGTCAGGTCGTCCCATCTGCCATGTAATCCTAATTTGGACGGCCAGGGAACAAGCATGCTCTACGATTAAGCCAGTGCAAGAGCGTTACCGGGATGAAGGCCCACATAAATGCTGTCTTACCTGTAGGATATGTAAGAAAGGCCCTGCTGCCCAGACTTTGTCGTTCTTAATGAAGCTTTCGACCACCTTTCGGGACTACCCCTTGCAGAGCGTATCGAGAATGTAATTCATGTGCCCCCGGCCTCTCTGGTCGTATGCTGAACAAAAGCAATAGAGCCATTGCAAAAGGGATCAGCTCTGAGTCGGTCTATCATCCTGCTGAGAAACATCTAGGAACCACTAAAGGCTATCCTCTACGCTAGTATCATCGTCCTGATAGCGGAGTATAGAGAAGAACACCAGCACAAGCTGGCGAAATGTCAGAAAGTGTCCGCGAAGCTGTATATTTGTGAAGAAGACCGAGTTTTCAGTTCTGAATTGTGCAAGTAGTTATTCGTCGACGGCAAAACTCGAATATACGCAGCAGGATGAAGTCGAGGAGGTTCACTGGTGTTCTGTGCAACCGACATGCTCCAGAACGCTGGAGGGGAGGCTTTACCAGCCAGTGTTGACACCTACGACGCTCTACGGCAGGGATTGCTGGCAGGCAGTAAAAAGCGTGAAAGACAGCTGCACTCTGCTGAAGCAATGCTCAGTTGGCCCTGGTTGTGTTAGACAAATTCAGAACGAGGGCTTCAGGGTGGTTCCCCAAACAGCCCTCGTCTAACTAAGGTGAGTGAGCAGAGTTCGCGATGGTACTTACACGCACTGAAAATTCCACAGAATACTGCTCTGCCCTGTTCTATCCGATTGTTGCTCTGCTAGCAAACTGGTAGAAATAATGGCAGTTCAATAGGTACCGACTATTGATCAGCTGCCTGAATCTCTCCATGCAGAATGATCCCCATTATTGAAAACTAACTTGCAACCAATCTCTCTGTGCATAGGAGGCACAATGCTTGTTACTATAGAGAATTTTTGATCTGTGAAGTAATTATCCCGTTCTGGGATGCTTCCCCACTTTCGACTTCTATTCAGAACCCTAGTGATTGCGTACATATGTTGTCTATACAATAACTTGCGGAGCTCAGCCGATGTACAAGTCAGTGCTTTCATCCTCGCAGTACCAATTTACTGACCCCAAAGGAGTGAGGGCCTTGGTTGGCCTTGGCGGTTCATTGATTCATTTCTTTTTCACAAAATTTCGCTTGAAATCTCACTTGACGTTTCAGGCACGTTCATTTAAGTTGCCTCCGAAGTAAAGTAAGTCTTTTTGTGTATTGTCAAGTGTTTTCTTGAGAGTGAAGTATTCTCCTCCGAATTTCAATGGTGTCAAATTACGATAATCCATCGATAATCCATTAGACAAAAGTTCATCTCTTTTTATAGAAATGTGTTTTATAATAGCTTCCTTGCGACTAATATGACATTCAGATTTGCATAATGAGAGCCTCAGTAGGCGGAAATTAACCTAATCATCTTCTATTAAGTGCTTGATTAGAGTTCCAGATCCCACAAGGTCGCTTGTCCATGGAAATTACTTTGTTTGAGGAAGCCAGACCTTTGAATGCACCAGAAAAGAGCTTTCCTCATTAGGAAAAAGTCAGTCCTACTTAAAGGGCAATGCTGGAAGTTGGCCTTCCAATCGGCACTGATGAACACTGACGGTAGCAACTCATTTACGATAAGAGTAAGATGCTAGTGCATGCGGTAACATAAGAATTCCAGGATGATCCAAATCCAGACCTGGATGATCTAAGTTCGAAATCAGGTAAAAGGACCAAGATAGAGCTCCTGCGTTGAAAAAAGTAGCCTACAATACAGCCTACGCGCACTGCGGCGTTAAAACAGCAGTTAAAAAACATCAAGTCAAAACAAGTACTAACATGTAAAGCTTTCAGCTTAACGGTTCAGTGCTGATATTGGCCGACCGGCTCAACACGTTGTACGTGTGAGTGCTGAAAAGCTATGGCATATAAGCCATTAAGAAGGCGAGGGCAAGCGGGGTCTCGGTAGTGTNAGTGCTTGATCAGAGTTCCAGATCCCACAAGGTCGCTTGTCCATGGAAATTACTTTGTTTGAGGAAGCCAGACCTTTGAATGCACCAGAAAAGAGCTTTCCTCATTAGGAAAAAGTCAGTCCTACTTAAAGGGCAAAGCTGGAAGTTGGCCTTCCAACCGGCACTGATGAACACTGGCGGTAGCAACTCATTTACGATAAGAGTAAGATGCTGAACGTAGGAGTAGTTTGATGACGAAGATGAATACTTTATTGAAACCTCCACAAGACGATGCAAAAATCATTCAGAAAAAAACGGACCTAAATGCGACATTAATAAGACCGATAGTAGTGTATGCAGTAATATAGGAATTCCAAGACGATCCAAATTCAAACCTGGATGATCTAAGTTCGAAATCAGATAAAAGGACCCAGATAGAACTTCCTGCGTTGAAAAAAGTAGCCTACAATTATTGTGAACTGTACTTTCAAGTGTATTCTCCTCTAGGTTCGCTCTGTGTATGTGACTTCCGCAAATGTTGATCCATGACCCGCCTATCTTAATATTAATCGGCATATTAAATATTCAGGTGATTCTGAATTTTTTAGTGAAGCCTACAGCCACATGAAGATGTTTTGGCAGGCAAAACTTTTAATATACATTCTACATTTCACTGGCGTACTTATTCATATTGATACATCTTAGGTTAAAAAATAGGAAAAATAGAAAATTATTAAATAAATAAAAAGACGAAAAATAGTTATTTCCATTGTTGTTCAAGCATGACTGAATAGACGGACGTGGGCTGGAGAACCGATTGCTGGATCAAGTTGTTCCGACGTATCTGCCTTTTCTTCAGTAGGTGCCGTGTAAGGAAAGGTAGAATGGCTACTGCAGTTGGAATGACCTGCAAAAACGATAATTCGAGGTCTGATACCACTTAGTAATAGCGGTGCTTCGGGAACACATACATAGACACCTTCTTTGATTATATAATTTATGTCTCGTTCGTTTTCAATCAGTCTCAAATGGACTTCACTGCATGCCAACATCATCGCTGAGAATACGATAGTTGCTAGTACCTGCAAAAGAACGACATTTAGCAAGGTGAGGAGCTAGCTGGGCGAAATGAGTAAGGAATTCAACTCGTAGGACGAAGTGGATTCTCAAAGCCACAGGTCAAAAGATTCCCTTTAGTTTCATTAAGAAGAGAGAAGAAAATGGTCGAGGCAAAGGAGAGAATGGTGCTAGGACCAGAATCGAAACTTAACCTTGAGATCTGGAGTTGCGTGGGAAGGCTGTACTTTAGTAAACCGCGATCTGCCGACAAAAAATTGGGACCGTTCGAAATGGAAAGTAGAAATCCGTTATATCAAACATGATTTGCTGAGGATCTCTTATATCGTATGGCACAGCCTGAACGTCAACCAGATTGACTCCCTCCCTAACTCTGTGGGCAGTATGCGAGGGCCAACAAAGAGTGAACGATCTCGGCCAAAGAAAAGGTTACTGGTCTGATGAAGTGCATGAAAATACGCGTCCCATAACTTTGGAAATGCTGGAAAGGAGCAAAGGCCGAAGAAATCTGAGAAGGTGTAAAGCTCTACTACAACTGAGGAGGCATCGAATGAAATGGTGCGATCGTAGCAGTGACAGGGCCCCTCAAAAAATCTGCTAATAATCAGCACGTTTGCAACCGGCTCTGAAGATAGACACGGAAAAGGAATAGTGCGTAGAATTTTCCCTCTCTCCACTGCAAGCCGGTTGCTACGAACAAGAAAAGGGCAAGTTTTGGATGAGATGGAGGAGTTTAGTGGTATATGTTTGCTCTCTAAATAACTCTGCTCAAGCTACAGAGCAATGTTGGGGCTCACGAGGCCCCACGGCATGGAGTGTTGGCTTGCTGTTGGACGCGCTCAGATTGTTCGTTCTGGTCGGAAAAGAAACAAGGACGCCAGATCGGTCACGCAGACAAGTCGTATCCAGCTAAAGGTGGGAAAGCAGGATATGTTGTTGGCAAGTTCTGCCAGGAGCGTGAGATCATTCGATTAGAAAAGCAAAGGCAAAGCTAAGGAAAGTGATCATGAGAGATCCCGAAGCAATAGCTGAACGAGATCAGGAAGGTCTTCCTCGAAGCCAGCATAAAGGCAGATGCCGCAGATCGAACGAAGTGCTCCCAGCCAGAAGAACAGCGAACATTTAGGCTGCGCGGGATCACTGTAGGGCAGAAGAAGAAGGTGAAGAGTATCGTAGACCAAGGCAAGGACCATTACCTGCGAAAGTTGGAGATACGATGTAAGAGTCGTGCCGGCGATATTCTCAGACAACTGGTATCTCACCGTTAATGGCTTATCAATTAATCTGCAACATTGGTTTTAATTTTAGGCATACGGAACAATTGGAAACAGCAAATCTTGATGATATTTTATTTTTTGAAGTTTTTAAATTACTTATTTGACTTTATCGAGTTCTAGTTTCTGGCTTTGACGAACTTGCAGGGTTCAATTTTGGGTTCCTGGCGCTCGCAGTTCTATTACTACAGTAAGAAACTTGCTATGGATTCAGTGCGCTTATTATCCTTATGATCCAAATCGAAGCATGCATATATGAGATAAAATCTGAGGGGTAAAGACTTGGACGTTGATCAATCCCGTCTGAGGGATGCGCCCCCGCACTCGACTTCTATACAGAATCGTAGTGGTAATTGAAGGCGTATGTGGCTCATACAATGAAGGGCGCTGGCCAGCCAGTGTACAAATAGTGCTTTTATTTTTCCAGACGAGTCTGGTACCAATTAGCCGACCCGGGTTTGGAAGGCTTGTTTGGCCTAAGCGGATATTGATTGCGGACTCGAACCCGTGACCATGCGTGTGTGATAGTGCGCTGCTTGCCACTACATCACCTCCGCCCCTGCATATGAGATATGACGTTATTAACGAAAACTTCGATATGACGTTGTCCCACTCTCGCTATTCAATATACTTCTGTATTTTTGAAGGCAGGGAGAAAGGAAGAATAAAGAGCAACTTATGAGCAATCATTCGTTCTGATAAAAATTATTTTGAACTTTGGTACGTGTTTTTGGTTAATTATAAACGGCAATGCTGCAATTACAATCATTAGCTCGTCATTTTAAGATTACCCCTGTGCTAATTGAAGGACAGATATCGTTGATTGGGTTTTTACCTTATCATTTATACGGCTGGGAAGACTAGAATTTGGCTNTACCAGACTCGTCTGGGAGGATAAAAGCCCTGAGCTGTACACCTACTGGTCCCTGCAAGTCATTGTATAGGCCACGTACGCATTCAATACGCCACTGGGAATTTGAGTAAAAGAGCAGAGGAACTGAATACAACTCACCTCGCTGTTCTTTTCTTATTAATATTGGCTAGAATGCTTTGAACAGTTAGGCCAACGAGACCGAATAAGATCACAAGCACGGAAATAAAATCCACTTTGAGTTTCACCGCCGTTTGGTCAGTGAAACACGACAGATTTGGCTCAACGAACTCCACATCGTGATAGATCCACAATGTAACGGCTAGAGGGAATATGAACTGAAATTGTTCTAGCAGCTGATGAATCTCTTAAGTGTGATAAGTGATTTATCATTCGTTTATTATTGATGTAAGACTGCTTCGTCCAAGGCAAAATTGCGGGAATTTGGGAGTAGTACTTGTGGTAGGGGCAGGGGTCGTGTCGATACTCGAGAAGCTTGAATATTCCCTTTTTTTCAAGCTCTTTCCCTCCCCTCTTTCCTTCAGTTGCTTCCTCGAGTCATCACGCAAGGGTTCTGCTCTTCTTTCAAATTAAGTCCAGTTTTCGTGATTAGGCGTCGAAACTACTATTTTCGGACACCTCTCACCTGAAAATCGGAGGAGGGCGTTAGAGGGGTGGAACGGGGTTTGGGGGATTATGGACCAGGACCAATCTACATTTTTTTATTTCCTGCTCGTTGCTCAGATGTTTCAAAGGAGTACAAAAGGGATACCAAATGCAAATGCATTCAGCGAACAATAGGCATTCGTGGCGCATCAGTGTTGGGGAGATCAAAACTGAACGAAAAGCAGCGATCGGGTTCCAAGGAGCTCTGTATATCAAGAAGGTCTAGAACTATATTAAATTCGTGGGGATAAGCTGGACTGATCAGATAATTTCGATAGTATCGACTAAAAAGATTGATTTGTTCCGGAAGCCAATAAACATACCGTGGCAAATATAAATAACGGGGAAGTCCTTTTCCAAGATTCGTACGTATGTACGAAAATAGTGGCCACAACGCGTTCGAACCCTACCACCATCTGCAAGCTGATCATATGCATTAAGCAGTACATTTCCATGACGGCATAGAAATGGTATGCCCCTCGTGCTGGGAACATGTCACATGGATTCCGATACGAGATCCAGAGCACGGCTTCATACATCTGTAAGAAAGTAAGCCTCAGTATATGTACGTAATGCTCTTCAAATAATTGAACGGAAAACCCTTTTCCCTATCAAAGCTATGGCGGCAAACCCTTTTCCCTATCAAAGCTATGGTTTTAAGAACAAAGGCGGTGTAGTGGCAAGTGGGCACTCTATCACGCGCACGGTCTGGGGTTCGAGTTCCGGATCGGTGCCCGCCTAGGTCAACCAAGCCTTCCATCCCTCCGAGGTCGGTGAAGTGGTACCAGACTCGTTTAGGAGGATAAAAGCACTGTTTTGTGCATCAGCTGGCCACCGCAAGTCATTGTAGAGACCACGTACGCATCAATCCGCCACTTCAACTCCGGATGGATGTCGGGTGCGTGGGCGCATCACCCAGACGGGACTGATTGATGCCAAAAACTTTGACCATTTATCTTTTATGTTTTTTCAAGCGGACTAAGGGACCAGTCTAGGGTAGTAGATTGATTAATAGCAAAGCACAATATTCCCAAATAATTCTATTTCCTTTACTGCATACAATTGATGAAGTTATTTTTTCTTATCTAACCATATTCACCTTTACTATTACTCACGGGTATAGTGTTAGAACCATCGCATAAGGTTCTACCCTTCTCCATCATACTGTATGCTTGTACAAGAAAGAGATAAAAAGTAAAGCCTTCTGACATCGATCAATCCCGTCAGAGGGATGCGCCCCTCATTCTACTTCCATTCAGAACCGTAGTGGCGTAATGAGTGCGTATGTAGCCTATACAATGTCTTCTGTTGGCCAGCCGATGTAGAAGTCAGGGCCTTTATGCTCTCAGACAAGTCTGGTACCAACTGAACGATCCCGGAAGAACGGAAACCTTGGTTAGCCTAAGCGGATACCGAGCCGCGATTCGAACCCGTGACCATCGTGTGTGATAGTGCACTACTCACCACTACACCACTCCACCCTTCTAGATCCTGAACAACTTTTTAACCAACGTCAGTAAACAAAAATGTCTTCTCTTCTAAGACGAAACTAATATTTAACTATAGTGTATCTCCTGCTTAAAACTTCTTATCCATAACTCCTTTGGAAGCACGAAATTAGTAACAACTGACTCTTATTTACTCGTACTATACATAAAGGGATTTATCTAATAGTGGTGAAGAAATAGGAGATCTTTGAAAGTTTCTTTTCCGAAATAAAAGTTCGCCTCAGATTGTAACAAAGTAAACAATTCAAGAAAATATTTTTTTCTGATGAAATTACTCACCCTACAAGTGAGAATTATCACAGCGTACACGATGCATATGTGGAAATAAAGTGAAAGAAGAGCCTAAAGTAACAGTTTGTCAATTCAAACTGAAAAACAAATTTCCGGAAAATCAGTCAGGGTATCGATGACTACGATAAAGTTGGTTAGTATTTCGTATTCCACTCAATTTTTTGAGATACTCAATGAAGTAGTAATTTATGTGGATGCTTGCCCTTACAGGGCATCGAGGAATGGTCTGGAAAATGCTATTGATAAGCACGACTGGTGGTCCCAATGTAACGATCACGAGGGTTTTCCAACGATAGATGGGATATAAATATAAGATTGTTGGGGTCAAAAGTTTGTAACTCGTCCCAGAACAGATTACACGCCAAGCAAATGCGCACAATGGCAATGAGATCTCCTACAGCTCTTCAACCGGCTTCAAGGTCCAAGGTCCGAAGGCAGAAAGCCTTAGAGAGGAAACGGTAGGATGAGTAAATCTTTGATGTTACGAAAGTCCTGTTTTGGACTTCTGCCGAAAGTTGGCGGTTCATCGAAAGCGCCATGAATCCCATCAATGAGCACATTTGTAAAATTGTCAACTCTCTCTCAGAGTCATCTATTTATCGAGAATGTGCAGATAAAATAGAATTTAGAGACTAATCTGCTGAGTAAAATTGACTTAAAGGCACAGTTCACGGTAAGATTGGTTTCTGAGTTTCCCCACAGGATGAATTCAAGGCCCCACGAATACCTCATCTAGCACTATTATGTAGGTTGGAAAACGGCCTAGTTAGGAAGCTATAAAGGCTCATAGATTGGCCCGCAAGTATCCTCGGACGAGCTTCACCGGCACTGTAAAGGCTGCACTGATCAGAAGGGAAGCCATGTAGGAAGTTCAAACAACTTGCCATGACCCATAGCTACAGTGAAAGACACTTCTGTACAGTTCCAGCTTGATGTAGTCTTTGTGCAATTGCATTAACTGAAATCTCGTCCAAATACCCCTCCCATGTTATTTCTGTCGTGGTAAACTCGTCCAACCTCTATTTTCCCTACTTTCGAGGAGCCATATTTTTCTCGAAATCGGCGAATTCACTCGCTTTCTTCACTACCGATGAACTATTCCCGTCTATACTTCCGCTCTTTGAATGAAAACGGGTACCTCGGAATTATCGTGAACTGCGCCTTTGAGTAAAGTTAACTTACGATATGCATTTACCTTCAAATTGATGTGCAAAGCTGCTTTCACAAGGTAGCCATGATGAACCATAGGTAAGGCGATAAGACCAATAATACATTCCGTGATTTGTATCAGTATGAAGGCTCGATAGAACATATTCGACACCAGAAATCCACCGAGCTAAACAGTACTGAATTGAAATCAACCGTACGTTTGTAAAAGTGTTCAAGTCTTAAAGCTTTTGGCGCTGTTCAATCCCGTTTTGTGGCAAGCCCCACATTCGATTTCCACTCAGAATCGTAGTGGCGTAATGAATGCGTATGTGACCTATACAATGACTTGCGGTGGCCAGCCGATGTACAGTCAGTGCTTTTGCTCTCCAGGACGAATCTGGTACCAATAACCTACCCCGAAGAGATAGCAGGCTCAGTTGGCCTAGGCGATATTGGGCCGGAATTCGAACCCATGACCATGCGTGTGTGAAATGCGCCACATACCACCACACCACATCTGCCTGGCTAGGGCGAGGTGGTGTAGTGGCAAGTAGCGCATTATCACACGTGTAGGTCACGGGCTCGAGCCCGGGATTGGTCTTTGGCTAAACCAACAAAGCTTTCCAACGCCCCGAAGTCGGCTTCGGTACCAGATCAGTCTGGGAGGACAAAAACACTGATTTGTACGGGACAGGATGAGGCAGTTCATCGGAAATTCCTCATTCGCATTTAGTACGATACTGCGTTCTGAATGGAAGTCGTGTGCAGGGTCCGTCCCACATGTTGATTAACGCCAGGAACTCTATCTTTATTCTATCCAAATATCAATTGAAGGAATATGATCAAATGCGTATCTTATCAAACCCCTGCTTCTTCGGGAGGCTACTTAATTTCCCCTTGTGTGACATATCAAAAAGCCGTAGGCTTTCATTTTATAGTGTTCGCTCAGTCAATTTCCTGAAGTTCACATAAATAACGCTCAATGTTCGTATGGTTATTAGTTTGGGTCGTCGGAAAATGGTGCCAATTTCCTTCAGTTTGCACTGATATCGTTGCTGGGGCATAACTCGTTCAGCAAGTTGCCGAGACATTTGAAGAAATGTCAATCGATGGGAGAAGATTCTGACGGATATCACTGCGACCAATTGAGGTATAGGAGTAGTTCTAAGCTGGCGATCCAAATTACTCCTATGTCTTGCAGAATAATTTGTTACAGTGCAGTACAGTTCAGCATAAACTTTTCGTTTGCTGGATGAACCACTCCTCATCAAAAACTTCCTAACCGTCTCTGCTCACAACATCATCAATGGAACGGTCGTTATTGTTGTACAGAAGGAAATTAGGGCGGATCTTGTAGTCCAATGCCCATCAGGAAGTCATGGCTCCGCCATAATCACCTTCCTTATCCTAACCTCCCTTTGAAAACTCATATCTTCTCCTTCATGGCTTGCGACTGCACACGATCCGGTATACATAGAGATCGCCGTTCGGGTACACTAACCCGCATCCGAAACAGATGGGCGACTTGCTTATGCTAGCTCAAATCATGGGAAACCCTTGTCGCTCGATTTCGGAGTTTTCCTCACGCATTCCTGCCTCGGAAAGCTCAAACTTACCATTAGTTCCTTCGCGAAAGCTCGCACAGTAGTATGTTTATACTCCACAGACAGACTTTTGGTCATGAGGAGTCGGAATTGCTTGTCTTTGGAAACTACTCAGCTACGGCGAAGCTTTTCGGTGACTCATCGATGACTTTCGCTTCGGAACAAGTGATAGTTAGTCATTTCCAGATGGAAAAAAACCGCAATGAATTGGCTGCTCAGCAATTTTTCGATTTTTTTTTCTCTGCCATTATAATTTAGAGAAGCACTATAATTACAGCACATTTGCACAGAGCAATTTTTTTGTATGGGAAAGTTTTTTTTGATGATTTTGTAGAGTATGCGCTCTCATTGTCCTCAAAAGGTGAAGCTGACAGCAAATTGATAGTGGACACTTAGACGAACAAATTTAACAATGGAAAATACATTCTCTATCAACATTAGCAAAGTACAGTTCCGTCCCAACGAAATACGATTTGGGTGACCTTCCTGCTAAATAAATCTAGGGGATGCTAGAGAGCCGTTCATACTTTCTCCTATGGCTCGCTCATGTAGACAGCGGTAGTTTTGCTGTCCCTATGGACCGAGGAACGCGATCCCAGACAGAGGAACACTTACTGTCATGCAGAGAACATAATATCCCGTACAAACGCGAGGGATGTTTGGATACTATCCGGGTGATCCGTCAAAATTTCTTCTTGCAATCGTTCGGTTCAAATTTTTCAGGTTAATCACGCTCTTTAGGGGGTTCACCTCTATCGTCGCTACGAAAAGAGGAGACGACCTCTGCTGATGCTTTCTTTAGATGTAAAGCAGCTCGACTTCGCTGTTCTCCTTATATGTTATAAACTCAAGAAACTCGCACTAATCCACCTCGATCTTCCTCATGCTGGTGTTTTTAAGGGTACTGTATTGAATATGTACTATGGTCAAATCTATCTACGCTCAGAATCCCACTCATTCTCCTCACAATCATCTCACCAGCTGGCT